CCTTATGAATCAGAACCGAACCGATTCAGTAAACCGGTGGTGTTTGCTTTCTTCCAGTTTCTCAACAGCTACGATAGAAACATCATCAACACGCTCGCTCACGTTCCTGACCTCCCTTTCTTCCGAACTGCTTGCAAGTCAGTGTAGTTATGTTGAAGTGTTCCTCTTCACTCCGCTGGTGAGCGAGGACCAGAAGGTCTGGAAGTGCATTTCATTTAAAGTCATCTCTAGAGGGCTCAGTCACGGCCCTCCACTCTCTTTGAACTCGCTCTCATCACTTGATGTCAGCGTTGTTGACATTTACCACCCAAGGGTCAGTGCAGGGTCGCTGCCATTTATGCAGCATGAACAAATTCATAAAGAGATTCCAGCCGATGGGGAAAAAATAAATGAAAAGCATCACGGTTGCCTCCTCTGTGCATTTGATAAGCAGGACTATGACTGTGAGAGGGCAGCCCACACTTCTCTGCAGAGCTCTGTGCGCTCGGGGGTTTTATAATACATTGAGTCGAGAGCGTTTTGTAGTTTTCACAATGCCACTTCGAGGTCCTCACGGTTGAACTATGAGCGTATCTATATGCATGTATATGGCCATCTATTCTCCTGCCTGTCTGTCTAATCACATTGCAATGGCAACGTATCCATCTTACGTCTTTGCTGCAAGTATATGAGGATGCAGGCAAGTGTTGCTAAATAACATTTCCACTGGACACATTGATTGTCAGGGTTGAAAGTTAATCTTTTCAGTTAGAGATGGTTCTGTTGTCACTTATAAAAGCAAAACATTAAAACGACAGATTGCTATTTTTTGCTGTATTCGATTTGTGCCATGGGACTTGATTTTTATATACCTCAAAGGATGATTTGGGGAATAACAGCTACAGTATTTATTGCACAGGTTGCCCCAATATTGATTACATTCAAATCCTTCGCAAATATTTTGAAATTGCCAAAAATGTTTCTGAAAAACATCTACTCATAAACATGTGTGGACTTTTAGTGCCTCTCCTTTGTGTGTTTCGCATTGACGAGTGTTGCTCAGCTATAGCTATGGTAGTGACACTAATGTGAACGCGTTACCTCTGATTTACAGGACCGACTTGATGCTGTCCTGCTGAAAAGCTCTAGAAGAACAGCTGCATGGAAACCAAAATGACCCGCAGTCCAACAAACTGCAGAGGCTGCAGCTATTTCTAATTAGTAAATGAGTGACCTTTTATGCAGCGATAGCATCAACGAGAGAGCATTACCCTCTCACTCAGTGGATTTCTTTTAATTGATTTTTTCATTTTACTTGTTGATTTAAGCTACTTAGAATGAGTGAAAATCTGGAGGCAGTAAGCAGGAATTAAAAGGAAAACATTCAATACGATATAAAGTCAGCGTGGTGAGCAATTTTAAAGCTGCTTTTTGTCTGGTTTTTCAGAGCTTTTGTGGCTTACATCTGTGGTGACCTAACAGACCAATTTGCTTTTCAATGCTAAAATACAACTGCACCAATATATAAGTGTGTCCTATAAGACGGGCTTATAAATGCATGTGAGGGACTCACTTTTAGCTTAGTTACTTATGTTGTTGTTAGCCATCCACCAGCAATTCCTGTTTCTTGACTGTGTGGCAGCTCTGTCCTCAAACGCATCACTCAATGGATTAACATGAGATTAACAAATGACCTTATATGGTAATAATGTACGTAATGTTCGGAGGAATGAATCCAGCAGGATATTAAGAGAGATATTGTCAATAATATTGGAAAAGTAGTAAAAAGTTATATTGAACATAGATTAATGAAAATAATATTACACAATGTTGAAAAAAGCTAGTCTGGCTCTTCCCAATGGTTTTAAAATCCACCTACCAGAACCTCTAAACCTGATCATTAACTTCCTAGATATTTATCATACAGACATGAGTGACATCAATCTGTTCACATAATGAAAAAGTGTTCAGGTGCATTTCCCAAAATGGGAACTCACTTCTGTTCTGCTAATTCACATTTGCTTTCCAACGTGTATATTGATTTTGCTGTCACTTATATTATCTCCAAGCCTTACTGGTTGCATGGCAGTAATCACATTCATAATAATGTAACATCCTCTTCATTTAAAGTCTGTTTACATTAAGATGATTGGATCAGGCAGGTGCCATGGGGACTGTAATGCGCATGTAGAGAGGAATGCAACAACATTTTTTAGTTACGCTTCAATTAATGGGACGTGGACAGCAGCAAAATGTATTTTAGACACCTACAAAATGTATATCAGTTTAAGTGTACGCTATATTTAGCATATTTTTACAGCTTTACCTTGCCGTCAGACAGTCCTTTATGACGGGGAACTGAAGCCGTTATCTATGCTCTTTTCAAAGCCACCGGACTCCTTTGACAAAAACAGTAATTTTACCTTTTAGAACACGGGAGTTTCTGATCTACCGATACAATCACACAAGTACACCACCTGACTCTATTCACAGCATATAATACAATTTTCTTTAGGGACATGTTAAAACAAAGGGGCCTTGTTGCCATGGTGACCAGCATTCAGACGGACTTGAAAATTAGTTAGTTTAATTAGTTAAAGTTAAAAATTAGTTAGTTTAATTATTAATTAGTCTTGTGAAAAACCCGGATGGAGTAAATTAACCTTTTCCAATGCAGTGTATCTTATTTTGAATGTTTGGTTCCATTTTTTTTATGGTAATCTATAAAATAGTTGAGATATGTCACTCAGTCAGGTGACCACCAAAGACATTAAGAACAATGAATGTCTGTATCAAATGTCACGACAATCCATCCAATGGACCAAAGAGGTCTGACATTGCCGTCCCTAGAGCCTGTGGCTGAAATTAAACTGTACCTCATGTTTGGTTCTCAACCTTTAGAAATACGTTGAGATGTGTCAGAGGAAGACACAGAGATAAAGGGGCAGACCGCCGATGTGCCATGCCGAGGAAAAAGAGCACAGCGATTAGAGAGACAGCTCAGAGAAGGAGATTATTTGGTGATGAACTTAAGCACCTCCGCTCTTGATGAATGCCTCGGCGCCGTACGTGTTGGCTTCGACCTTTAACCCAGACCTTTACGTCAGGCCCGAGCGAAGGACGAGAGGAATAGAACGCAAAACCTGAGTGTCACAGACAAGCTCATAGGTCTTCAATTACACATTTACACACACACACACACACACACACACACACACACACACACACACACACACACACATGAGGACCGTGAAGGACTGAAGTCTTTATCTACGGTATTTGTTTTACACATTTGTAGTGGACACAGCTGTTGTTTTCAATGCAGCCCTCTGTATCTCATTAATTCTACCCTCATCAGTTGTTTAGTGAAGCGTCGAGTTAAGAGAATATCACAGACCACATAATATTTACCAGTCATTTGCATTCAGGTGGAAAAGCCGCTGCAGCATGTCAAGTACTGCATATTTATTTGTTGTTTGCCGCCTAGATATGTTGTTAATCACAGGATATGACAGACAAGATGCGCCCCTGGTATTTACATTTAGTTGTGCGTTTGCTGAAATATAAGTTTGAAGGTTGTTTTCAGTGTCCTGCGTCAGCCGGGGGCTGGACGTGCATCCTATCCAACTGCTCTGCTTTATTTACATTTTGTTAGCAGTGTGAGGGCAGCTCCTTGGTGCTTGACATAAAGATAGTTTTACTTTATGATTTGACGAGGAGCAGCAGAATGCTACAAGGGGAGACGGCCTTCTTTGGGGAGGAGCAGTGGGTTCAGCCCGTCCAACTGAGAGGGTATTGCATGACTCGTAGAAGATTGAAAACTGTTGAATCACACGTACAAAGCTGATGAGTTTCTGACCACAGAGGGATGAACTGCTCAAAAAGATTGTAAGGATGCAGGAGTTCTTTCAAAGCAATAGTAATTAAATTTACTTATTTGCATCAAATATTTGAATGTGGATCATTTAATATCTTAAGATCTGACCAATTATATTCTGCATATATATCTGACGCCTGGAGGGAATTTATTCAAATTCCACCAGGACTCAAGGGTGAACTCATTAGATTATGGTGGTCAAAGGTCACTGTGACCTCACAAAACATGTTTTTGGGCCATAATTCCATAATTCATATGCTAATTATGACAATTTCACACAAATGTCTCATAGGATGAAATGATGAAGTGAGGACATTTTGGACAGACGTGGCTGTAAACTACTTGACTGGTTGGCGGAGGCATCCAACAGTGAGGCGGTAGTTTTAAATGAGTCGGGAAGACGACAGCAAAGCCTAATAAATCAATACTAGAGTCCGTCCTCGTCGTATGAATAAAGTGGTACACAAGTTAAGGCAGCGGGAAAATGCACACGGAACTTAATCTAGACCCTGGTCCCAGCGGTCGAAACACGATGAGGTCTTTAACAGGTTCCTAGTCCCTGAGGAAGGTTCCTGGGTCGGAAAAGGGGCTTTTGTGGATCACTGTTGAAAAACTCAAGTGCAATTCCTTCAGGTTTACCACCTCGTAAAAGCAGAATTTCATCGCCCATTTTCTGTGGCTGAAGGTCGGAGAGTAATCTCCATCAGGACCTGTACCAGTCTCACTCGATATTAAACAAATATACCAAACAAATAAGCGACACCGTGTCCTTTACTCCCTCTGCTCTCCACCGTGTGTTTTTACGTGACTCTGGTGGAAAAGTACTGCACACTCATTATCCTGGACCCATCTGTGGGAATGATGCTCACCTCATTAACTGACATTTATACAAATGAAACCTGATCACTGACCCATATCGCTCTCTCCCACACTTTCTTTAACACTCTCCACCTCTCCCTTTAATCGTCTCACTCTCTATATTCCTGCCATCTGTCTTTCTCCCGTCCTCTGTCCTTGAACGTATGTGGGATGTGGTGCTCCAGGTATCATTGCTGGTTTGAACGACATCAGAAGGGAAAGCCTCTGTTAATCCTCTCTCTCTCTCTCTCTCTCTCTCTCTCTCTCTCTCTCTCTCTCTCTGCAGCCTGCCACTGAGTAGGAACTCTATGTGGATCAAGAGTTGAACAAGGAGCATCCTAGACTAGGGGTGAGTTTGCTATTCATTTATTTTTCGGTCACATTTCCGTCTCTTGGGAATGGCAGTTCTGCAACTGCAACGGAGACGAGAGCTGTAAGTGGAGATTGTGTAATGTTTAAAACTCAGACTGTTCTGGATCAGATCCTCTTCCTCCTTACAGACTTGTGTTGTGGTGACGTGTACCTTTTTAGAAGCCAGTGGTGGAAACTAAGTACATTTACTCAAGTGCTGTACTTAGTGATATTGGTGAGGAACTTTTAACTGAAAGTGTCTCAAATGAATACTGATGGCTCTATATGACCGTTATAATTAACAAGACCATCAGTGAGAAGATTGGCTGCTCGAAAACACTATAACTTTCATGCTATGCCCTGCCAAAACCAACACAAAATTAAAGTTCATTTTTGGGGTACTTGTACTTATAGTATTTCCGTTTTATGCTAGGTTAATTTCCCCAGATGATTACTTATATTGTACAAGTCGTCCGGTCCCCTCCTCGTGAATGGAATGTGTCAGTAACTCCTTGAGGGAACTTCTTCATATTTGGCACAACAGTCCACCTGGACTCAAAGATGAACTGATTGGATTTTGGTGGTCAAAGGTCATTGTGACCGAACAAAACACGTTTTTGGCCATAACTTCAGCATTCATATGCTAATTATGACAATTTCACACAAATGATGAAGAGTTGACATTTTGAATGGACATGGAAATAAACTGCTACTTGGCAGGTTGGTGGAGACATAAAACTACCAGGCAGTTCATATGTATAATGTAATCTTTAAATATGCAAAGGAGCATTATCTAATGCTAACCTGTGGTGAATCGAGTACAAATCTACAGACACAAATAGACGAATAAAAGTTGTAAAATAAACACCTAAATGTGTAGTTTAGATGTTTTCTTTCCACTAGTCTGAAAGAAGACAGAAGAAAGAAGAAACCAATAGAGCCCAAAATATCAAAATTGAGTTGCATGATGAACTATGTTTTTGCCTGTGGTGACATAATAATTTAATTATAATCCCATAATACAACAAATTATTCTGCATAAAGAGTACTTTTACTTTTGGTACTTTAAGTATATTGTGATGCAGATACTTGCTATAGTGTGTTTCCTACCTTGCACATAGTTGAGGTTACATTCTGTGCTCTTTCTGCTTCAAGAGGGGTCATTTCTTCCAGCTCTCTGTCACTCTCTTGTTATCCAATTGTATTGCAAGTAGCTAGTGTTAGCTGGCTAGGAGCTAACGTTAATGCCGGCCGGATAAACGTCAGCTTTGAGAAATCTTCCTCCCACATAGAGTCGAGGCTCTTCTTGTGAACCTGGACAGACTTGAGCTGATCTTGAAGTCTTTTTTGACTCTGATACAGCTGGGTCATTTTAATCCCGCCCACAGAGGCTCCGATTGGTTCAGGTTTTTCCCTCTGACAGCCAGTCACAAGAGCAACACCAGACCTTTTTGGAATCTCCTCGCAAAAAATTGAGATGTGGGGTTGTGGGGTTGTGACTCAGAGATCCGGCAGCGAGCAGGGAACCCTCACCCTGCCGAATTAAAGCTGTGGAATCAGCTTTGGTTTCCATCTTTTTTACATACATGCTGATTGATTGGTGTGCGTGTGTGAAAGAGAGAAAGCTTGATAGACACAGTGACACATTTCTTTTTGCAGACGACTCATTACTGAGACTGTGTGTGTCGTACCTGCAGGAGGCAAATGACATGTTAATGTGTTTCTCACCATAATGGAGATGAATGGTAATTGACTGGCTCCTGCTTGTGTGTTTCCCAGTAGAGAAACACTTTATAATAACATCATTAACAAAAGGTAAATTCATAGTTAATTAAACTTTAGTTAATTGTTACTTTAACAGACAATTATACTAATGAATAAAGTCTGCTAATTATTAGCAATGCTATAATGTATGTTATCTCAACAGTTAATTGTAGCACACATTATAACATTTTATAATAACATTATATTTGATATGAGATACACATATGCTCAAACAGAGTCACTCGTGCACACCAGTGACCAAGAGGTTGAGAGTTTAAAGGGATGGAGCAATGCATTCTGGGAAACACAATGGCTCATTAGTTCTATCCCACGGCAACCCGGCCTAGTGGTGATGGATGGGCGCTGTTGGTGGTGGGGGGGGGGGGGGGGGGGGGGGTCATGAATGTGCTCCTTGTGTGTAATTTTTTTCTCATGTGTCTCGGCGTGTGGTGTTCACACATGAATTGCCCGTCCGTGTAAGTGGGGTAGTAAGTATGATGTAGTAAGGGACCAGGAGGTAGTAAGGGACCAGGAGGTCAAGACACACGTACATAAGCGCGTGTGATCATTTACCAAAGGTCCCACATGTGTGTATGTACGTGCGTCTGTGTGTGGTATGTACAACTCAGCATTGCACAAACGTGCGTGCAACCAGGTGGCTCCTAACACACAGGCCGGCGCGTGTACGTCACGACAGTGCTGCCCCACGTGATCCAAACAGTTACAATAACTCCAAGGGGTTGTAAAGTCCAAAAGTCCACACTTGTTGAAAAAAGATGTAACCATTTCAAGAATCCACAACATGTTTTCATCCAACGAAATATTCTGCTTAAAATCTATATTTGTTGGCGTTTAACCTTTAAGAACATGTTCACTGTGGTCAGATAAACGCTTTGCCCTCCCTCTTTCTGCACACAAAGAGAAGCAGCACTCACCACGTATATTGATTGAATAAGTTGATTTAATAAAAAATATAAAAAGAAACGATTTATGAATCACTATTATTATTATAACTTTATTCAAATTGAGGATAGGAGATTTTTTTGCTGGAAAAAAAAAAAGCCTAATGGATGAGAATCGCATTTACCTTTAATGTTGATGCATAATAAATAATGTGGGATGAATATTCCTTATGTCATGGGATATTTGTGAATTTCGGTGTAATGCATATACAGTATAATAATAAGAAAAGAAAAGAAAACCCTGCATTCAAATACTGACGCATGTCTTGTCCACCGTGTCCCTTTCTAGCCATTCTTACCATAGTCTGTGTGATAATTAATGTTCATGTGCGTGCATGTGTGTGTGTGTGTGTGTGTGTGTGTGTATATATCTATTTTTGGTCTGAATCCAGCTCTCCTCACCACGAGCTGCTGATGGAGCTCAGAGCTCATGTCAAGTTGTCAGGAATCCACACGAAAATCACAACAGGACTCAATTACTGTCTCCTCATAGACCCGCTAACCCCCCCCCGCCCTGTTGTATAAAAACAACATCCTGGTGCTCATGCTCTGCCCATAGATGTGAGATGGAGAACACCTGGTATATACTGTAGCTGTACATCTTCCATCTTTTCTTTCATTTACTATCTCCTCTCGCTCGCTTTCACTCTTCATCTCTCAAATCCATGCTGCAGGTTTGTCACCTTCTCCTGTCGGAGCTGCAGTTCGATGTGGAGCTGTGTGTGTGCGTGTATGTGTGTGTGTGTGTGTGTGTGTGTGTGTGTGTGTGTGTGTGTGTGTGAGTTTGTTTGTACATCAACAACGTGGTAAATAGCCTTAAATGTACCAACCAGGCCTCATCAGAAGGATCTGTGTATGTGTTTGTGTGCATGCTGACATGCGTGTCTGCTGAATTGTTCTCATCAGACATATGTGGCATCGATAGATGTATTTATGGATGCTGCAGGCAAAGTGTGGCACCCCTGAAGGAACTAATAGGGTGTAGCGTGCATGCATGTGGAGGATGATGAGTCTCAGAGGTGTGTGTCTCCAGGAATAGAAAGCACATGAAAAGGACATATTACCATCAAGTGAAATGCTAGAGGTTCAAAATGGAAATCCTCTGTAAAGCAAGGCTGCTGCCTCGCCTCACCCCTCTACACTGTTTGGTAACATTATTTTGTTTTAATCCAGTCTTAAAAATCTAACAGTGTGATTTGTTCAATGTCCAAAAAAGTGGTACCAATGGGTAACCACCGTCACTGAAAAGTGAATCCAATGATGAAGTGTCTTAAACCTGCATTCTCTCTACTGGCCAGCAGGGGGCGACTCCTCCGGTTGTATAGAAGTCTATGAGAAAATGACTCTACTTCTCTCTTGATTTATTCCCTCAGTAAACATTGTAAACATGAGTTTATGGTCTCAATCTCTAGTTTCAAGTCTTCTACAATACAGCATGATGTTCATTTCGTAAATTATGATCCATTTAGAGTCAAATAGACCATAAAGCAGAGTATGCTTTAGGGCGGGGCTAACTTGTGATTGACAGGTTGCTACCATGGCCTGGGTGTTGTCGGTATTTTCATCATTGAAACTTAACCCTTTCACAGTGTGTTTTCAATTTATGAAAGTTAATTGTGAATTTTGGTCGCCTAAAAATATCTTAGTCAGCATTCGGTTGTCACCTCTCTTGTCATTACTGTTTGCAACAATCCAAGATGGTGACAGCCAAAATGCTGAACTCAAGGCTTTAAACCAGCAGTCTACAAACCAGTGGGTGACGTTTCGCTGACTACATCCACTTCTTATATACAGTTTATGTCTCAGTCGCTAATTTCAAGTCTTCTTCAATGCAGCATGACGTTCATTAAATAAATGCAGGATACATTTCCGATGCATTATTGCACTAGAAATACTTAACTTATACGACTAAGATTCGTGTTTTTTGTCGGAGATATCTAACACCTTGGACTTAAGAATGATGTGAACGATGGACCTACAGTATTTAATTGGACTCAATGAACTGGACCCTTTCCTTCGACTTCATATGTTATTACACATTTTTTTAATCTGGAAAATTCCTGTCAGTTTTTTTGCAATTTTCCATTTTTCTACCAGTGGCTCCATCTGCGCGCCTAGGTGGGCCTAATGTTTTAGGTGAAACAGGTTATTATGTCTATTATGCACAAGTTTGTTTTAAAACTGTGATGTTCTCCTTTAACAACGCCTTTTGAGCCCCCCCCCCCCCCCCTGGATTGGCACATTTTGTACAGTACTGGTTGTTGCTTTTGTA